TTTATCCCATAACTCCTTTGTGCCAGCTTCTCTCATGGGAGTTCTTCTCTCCCACCTTCTCACCCTGGGGCCCGTTCAGTGACCCTTAAAGGACAGCCTGATGGCAAATAACTGTTCTCATTGGCCTGGCTTCCCCTTGAGACTGGGGATAAGGAAAACCAAACAGCAATGACCATTTCCTGGGTGTCCTGGGGTGTTTACAGTAGGCCATGTGCATGGGGTTAACATAAAAACAACAATAATAAATCTCACTTAACCTTCACAAATGGAAGTCAAACAATACCACCTCTATTTCACAGACGTGAAAGTAGAGGCCCAAGAAGCTCGAGCAACTTGCCCTAAATCACATCCCTAGCAGACGGAGAAGCAGGATTCAAACCCAGAATTCTTAACCAGTACCCAGAAGTTCTTCCACAATCTTACTAATTACCCTCTACTTCCCTTTGTGCCTCTTTTCCCCAGAAGCCTGGCCAGCCACGGCTCACAGCCCCAGGTGACTGGCAACCAACAGAAGTGGCTGTCTCAGGGCTTTTTTTTTTCCCTCCTCACTCCTGCTGAACAAGGCTGTTCCTCTGTTGAAATTTTTTTAACTGTGGGAAAGAAGAGCAGTAATACCCATGAGAACTACAAACCCCTACAGTCACAACCTACTTTACAGTTTTTACAAAATACTGTTATATACCATCTGATTTAATGCCACCAACAATTCTACAAGGTGTTGTCACAATAACTTAGTGACAGAGGGATTGATATTATAGCTTTAAAAAAAAAAAAAGAAAAAGGCAATACTGGAACTTAAACCCAGTCTTCTGACTCCAAGCTCTGGGGTTTTGCCACAAATCCATAGCTGCCAGAGACCAAAACCAGAGGCAGAGGTAGAAAAGTCAACATTAAGTAGGCAAGAACTGTACACTGTGTGGTTTAGTCATACACCTTCACACATCTGTTAGTGTTAAGAAGGGCACCAGTACCTCTCATACTTTTATATCAATGTGTCCTCAGGGCAGAAGGCAGCCTTTCCGTTAAATCTGGGAATTCATCAGAAAGAGGTCAACCCAAGCCTCATTTCAGAGATGTCTGCTATATTCTTAGAAACCTATGTGACTGTCATCCCTAAGTACAGTCGTATTTTTTCTCTCTCAAGAGAATCAAGGGAAACCAATGCTTCAGAAAGATGTTTCGCATTTATCCTGTGGCACTCATAGTACCCCAAGATGAGATGATATGAGGAAGATTCAAGCTGTCAAGTTCAGTTTCCCAAGATCTGTTCCACAGATGAGCAGATCTCATTCCAGAGGCCACTGACTGAAGGGCAGTCTGGTCCCAGAATCATGGAGAAAGAAACATTAAAATCTCTCTGGAGAGTTGAAGCCTGGGAGAAAAATCAAACCAAACACATTCTCCCATTGCCATTTAGAGACAACGTCAACGTTTTGTGCTCAAGGGGGAAGTGTAGGCTTTTCACATTGTCACTGTCTATAGTAAGGGGGTAAGGTAGCCTCAAACCTCTTGCTCCTAGATCCGATAGTCCCAATTGCCCTTCTAGCTGGAAATTTGTTGGGTGACCAGAGAAACCAGAAATGGGGTGAGAAGGCTTAGGGGACTGGGTGGTAAAATCAAAGGCTGGTCTTGCAGCAGTAATGACAGTTCCTAGTGGGACTGTGACATCAATACATTCCACTCTTCCCGGGGGAGGGGACATTAGTGATGCCTGAGTCACTGCTTCACAATGCGGGGAGGGGGACACAGGGCTGGGACCCAGATCCTTGGAGATGCCAGCCCAAAGAACCCAGGGAGGTTGAGCTTGGGGCAGGAGGGGAGGGCAGACTGCAGCAGGGAGCCCCAGGAGCCACCAGCAGCAAGGGTGGGGGCTGGGGCACCCAGGTCCTTAGAGACGTAAGCCCAAAGAGCCAAGGGAGGTCAGGCTTGGGGAGGCAGGAAGTGAGGGCCAAGTATGGAGTGAGGAACCTGAGGCACCCTCCCAAAGTCACCCTGGAGTAAATGGCCAAGGCAGGGGCTAAGTTGCTTGCTGAAGGGGTGGGGCTGACTGACAAAGAGTTTGATGGGGGGATCCCAGAGGCACTGGGATTGGGGGGGCCCAATCCAATGTGCCTCGGAAGTGATATTGACTCTGACAGTTGTCTTGCCGTCAAAAGGGGATCTGTGACTGGGTTGGGGGGCCATCACCTGGTGTGTTTTACCTTTTTCCTTGCTGCGGCCAATTTGCTCTTTCGAGCTTCTTCTGACAGACATCATGGGGTGGGGAGGGAGGTGGGGTTGCGGCCACATAAGTGAAATACCAGGGAGGCCTACTAAATGCCTCCAGTCACCTACCAGGCAGCTGTGTGACTGGGCCAGAGGAGGTATAACCAGGGTCCCACGAGAATGCAGAACAGGGGTGTGGCCTTACTGCTCCAAGCCCATTGGGGAATGAGAAAGATGAAAGAAAAAGGAGGCATGGCCAGGCAGGAGCATGTCCAAAAGGACCTGTTGCATCACAAGGAATGCTGCCCATGCAACTGCTTTCCCCACCCACTTCAGGAGAGGGCAGGGGCTGGCTTTTGCCTTAAAAGCTTTAAAACTTAAAAAAATAAACTTTAATATGTGTATGCTTCAAGAGCAAAGGCAAAAAAAAAAGCTTTTTGTTTTTATTTAGTTGGTATTTTATTTTCTATTGAGATGGTGTGTCACTCTTGCCCAGGCTGGAGCGCAGTGGCGTGCAAATCTATGCAAGGTCTATGACTTTGATCTACATTTTCCATCTTCAAATGGAGTACAATAATTACCAGTATTACCTCAGTTGACATACTAATCCTATAAAAATGAAAAAGCAATAGCATGCTTAACGATTAATGAAGCAGACTGTATTATCCAACATTCTAAGAAGATAAAATAGTCAGGAAGGTTTTTTTTTTTTTGTAAAAACATTTGTCAACATTATCGTTAAGATTTTTTTAAAAACAAGAACTATGTCTAATATCTTTAAAAATACTAAGCTTTTGGGCCGGGTGTGGTGGCACATGCCTGTAATCCCAGCACTTTGGGAGGCCAAGGCGGGTGGATCACCTGAGGTCAGGAGTTCAAGACCAGCCCGGCCAACATGGTGAAATGCCGTCTCTACTAAAAATACAAAAACTAGCCAGGCGTGGTGGTGAGTGTCTGTAATGCCAGTTACTTGGGAGGCTGAGGCAGGAGAATCAATTTAACCCAAAAGGCAGAGGTTGCAGTGAGCCAAGATCACGCCATTGAACTCCAGCCTGGGCGACAGAGCAAGACACCATCTCAAAAAAAATAAAATGAAGTATAAAGTAAATAAAAACAAGCTTTTAATTTAATAAGCACTCAAAGCTCTTTACCAGTTTAAAACAAATACAAGGCCTAGTTTTCTAGAATCACCTGGCCTCTCTAAGCCTTGCAAATAAAATTAAATTTCTCACTTGATATGGCTATGACTTGTGATCATGAAAACCAAGAAATGTTTTACATCACTGTATTGCTTATTACCTGAATCCATACTAGGCTGGGATCAAGGGTTCAATCTTTTATGATTTGCTCCAAAACCTCTGTGCTTATCCCAGACCAATCTAAGTTTTATTCTACAGTTCTGTAATTTACAGTTAGTAGTCAAGAGTGGTTCTCAAATATGTAGTCTCTGGACTAGAAAAACCGGCAGCACCCAGTAATTTTTTATAAATACAAATTTTCAAGCCCCACCCTGGACCTGGTGAATCAGAAACTCTGGAGTAGGGCTCAGCAATCTGTGCTGCAGTCATCCCTCCAGGTGTTCAAGAACCTCTGGCACACAGCAGGTAGAAAAATGTGTTTACTTCTATAGGTCCAAAGGCAAGGGTATACTATGTTCTGTCTTGATACGAAACAATGACATGCAATTAAAACATAAATCTCCTTCCTATTCCCATCCTCCATCCAATGTGTTTTATTTTATGAGTTCAATAAGAAAACAAGTGGCAATCAGAGATTTAGTCTAAAAAGTGTATTTACAATATTAGTTCTCATTCAGAGAACTGATTTTAAAAAGTGTCTGCACAATAAAACTCTCAGGCACACTAGGAGTGCTATAATAAAACACCAAGTAGATCAGAATGTCCAAATTTTCTAGAGAAGAAAAGTGGAATCATTGGCTAATATTTTTAAATTGCATTCAACAGGAAATTTAAGTTTTGAGTTTTTTTAACCTTTGTACTTCTCAGAAAATAGGATTAAACCAGAACACTTCATTCTTTCAAAGCCTCTAGCCTGGCAAAGTTTTACTGTATTACTTCTTGCTTCCAATGAATATAAAGCAGAGTCCTGGTAGGCACATTTTGTATACCTGCAATAATGCAGAAGTGAACAGTTCCATCTGTTCAATATGAAAACAAAAGTCCCGTAAACCTCTTATGGTGAGTATAATACTTCAGCACTAGCACCAAAGTCTCAAATACAAAAAGATACCAAGAACACCACTAGCAAACAAAAGTGAGCTCTCAACCAGGAGCAGTAGTTCATGCCTGAAATCCCAGCACTTTGGCAAGCCATGGTGGTAGGATTACTTGAAGTCAGGGATTCAAGACCAGCCTGGGAAGCATAGCAAATTCACATCTCTACAAATTTTTTTTTTTTTTTCAGGATAAAAATTAAGTGAAACGTGACTTTGGAGCTTGGCCAGAAAATAGGCAATGGAGACATAGGCACTTCCCACAAGAATAAAAATGGCAATAAGCATATCAAAAAGATTCAAAAGCACTAGAAACCAAAGAAATATCATGAAAACAATCAGATTTTCTGCTTAAAGACCAGCAAAGTCTCTTCCCCTCCTCCACAGCATGTGGCGGTCGGGGGCAGGAAGGAGAAACAGCCGCGGTGGCAGAAGCAGTAGTAGCAGAGGCTGTAGCATCGGACACCCTCCTCTCCCATGAACCAGTTCCTCTTCCCCCTTCTTCCCACTGTTTGTTGTGTGTTTGATGTGTTAAAGCAGGAGCGAGGAACCGAGTAGCACCATGAGCAACACTACCGTCGTACCTAGCACTGTGGGTCCGGGCCCAAACAGCGGGTCTGGTGGCAGTGGTGGTGGCAGAGGTGGCAGCACCGAGGTAATCCAAGTAACTAACGTCTCCCCAAGTGCTAGCTCTGAGCAGATGCGAACTCTCTTCGGTTTCCTAGGCAAGATCGACAAACTGTACCTCTTCCTGCTGGATGATTCACTTTTGCCAGTCTCATCTCATGTCTGCTTTGTTAAATTCCATGATCCAGACTCAGTAGCTGTGGCACAGCTTCTGACAAACACTGTATTCATTGACAGAGCTTTGACAGTTGTACCATATGCAGAAGGAGTTATTCCTGATGAGGCTAAGGCTTTGTCTCTGTTGGCACCAGCTAATGTAGTGGCAGATCTTCTGTCCAATGGTGGACTTCTGCCTACTCCTAACCCACTTACCCAGATTGCCGCTGTTTCACTGGCTATTTTGGGGGCTCCTACTCTTGATCCTGACCTTGCTGCACTTGGGCTTCCTGAAGCAAACTTGAATTCTCAGTCTCTTGCAGCAGATCAGTTGCTAAAGCTTATGAGTACTGTTGATCCCAAGTTGAATCATGAGGTATTCGATTTTACCAAGTCTGAAATCAGATGCCTCTAGTAAAGAAATAAAGGAAGCTATGAAAAGAGTACAAGAAGCACAGTCCGTAATTTCTGCTGCTATAGAACCAGTTAAGAAAGAAGAAAAAAAGAAGGCATTCAAGATCAAGATCAGATTCTAGGAGGAAGAGGACTCCCTCATCTTCTAGACACAGGTGGTCAAGAAGCAGATCGAGACAGCAATCACATTCTAAGTCTAAGAGTTGGCGACAGTCCAAAAGCCCATGGCGGAGAAGATCTCATTCCAGAGAGAGGGGTAGAAGGTCAGGAGCATATCAAAAACGAGAGACAAAAAGAAAGAAGACAAAGAAAAGAAACGTTCAAAAACACCACCAAAAAGTTACAGCACAGCCAGACATTCTAGAAGTGCAAGCAGAGAGACGACAATGCAGAAGCAGAAGTGGAACAAGATCTCCTAAAAAGCCTCGGTCTTCTAAAAGAAAATTGTCTCCCTCACCATCCCCTAGGAGACATAAAAAGGAGAAGAAGAAAGATAAAAACAAAGAAAGAAGTAGGGATGAAAGAGAACGATCGACAAGCAAGAAGAAGAAAAGCAAAGGTAAGGAAAAGGACAGGGAAAGAAAATCAGAGTAATAAAGATGTAAAACAGGTTACACAGGATTATAATGAAGAGGAACAGGGGTATGACAGTGAGAAAGAGAAAAAAGAAGAGAAGAAACAAACAGAAACAGGTTCCCCTAAAACAAATGAATGTTCTGTGGAAAAGGGAACTGGTGATTCACTAAGAGAATCCAAAGTGAATGGGGATGATCATCATGAAGAAGACATGGATATGAGTGACTGAGTACTGCCTCTCTTGGAATCCAACTGTATACCTGCATCAGTGTCATTCCTGTAATTTCCTAATGCTGTATTTGTTCATCTCAAATCTAGATGTATACAGCTCTGAGTTATAAATGATTATAAAGCTCCTGTTACTGATATTAGTTATTTACATCAAAAAGGTTTTAGAAAATGGTACAAGGTAACCAATTCTTGTCATGGTGAAATCTGATTGAGTAACCAAGCAGTTTTACTATTCTGGTGCTGCTTCATAACAAAAATGAAAAGCTGCATGTGTCTACAGCAGGCATGGATTGTTTATGTCATATGATCTCCTTTATTAAGTAAGTTCACTTACAGTATTTCTATAATTTGATTCATTGCTGTAATATAACAATGCAGGAAATGCACTGATTGCATGTTATTGTAGCAAGAATATCCTAAATGTCATTAAAATCCTTCAACATGATGGATCTACTTATGGTCTTGTTTGTTGACATGACAAATTAACATTCTTACAGTTACATCTGGAAATGAGAATTTGAAATAGATAATTCTTTAAGTTTGTGGCAAAATTTTTGTGGCTTTTGTTTAACTTTGAAAGGTTATTATGCACTAACCTTCTTTGGTGGCTAATTAGGGTTGAAATACAAAATCAAGATTTCAAATAAATCTGTCTTTGGCAGTGAGTAAACAGCATTAATTTGAAATAGAGTTGTATACTTTTTCATAAGATGTTTGGGAATTTTTTTTCCTGAAGTTAATAATTTATTCCATATCTACATCAGTGAAAGTTATCTACCTATCCTAGGTCCATCTTAAAAGGAAAAGAAAAAAACATCTCTTGCCATTATTTTGAATTTTCAGTAATTTGTTTTAAGTTCAGTGTTGGAAAAAAGGGGTAGTGCGTTTTAAATTGCCCTTCATATGCTTTTAAAATAAGACAAATCTACTTGATAATGTACCTTTTATTTGATCTCAAGTTCTATAAAATCAATAAATTTATGTTACTGCAGTAGTAATCTTACTTACACACAGTGATTTCATGTTATATATACAAAATAGGCAACGGCTTTCTTAGTTACAGAAGTTTCAAGCTTCATTTTTGTGCAGTAAAAACAAAAGTAGGCTACAGTCTGCGTCATGTTGACGTACAGTTTCTGAAATTGTTTTACAAAACTTTGATAATAAAACCCTTAAATTTATGTTCATGTTCCTATAAAACTGTATTTGTATTTATTTACGCTATTCAATGTATGACATTTACCTCATTCATTTCACATATTCTTTCCCTTTCTGTCCACGTTTCAGTATAGTAAAAAGAGGAATTCGAAAGAAAGAAAGAAAGAAAGAAAGAAAAAGAAAGAACGAACGAACAGACCAGACCAGCAAAGAGGACAAATGGAATGAAGAAACTGCAGCTCTGTCCCTATTGGTAGAAGTAGAAACTGACCCAATTTTCCTCCAGGATCATTTGAAACTTTCTATTAAAAACCCTAAAACCATTTTATGTTATTTTCCTCCAGAAATTCTACTTCTATGAATTCAGTCCAAAAACGCTTCCTCAAGTCCATAAAAAGTATATATAAGTAAATTTACTTCTGGGGTGGCAATGATTAACTTAATATACATCTAGCTATTAAAAACGATGAGGGGAGAAGATCCAAGATGGCCAATTAGGAGCAGCTCAGGATTGCAGCTCCCAGTGAAAGTACAGAGGGTGAGTGGACACCACATTTCCAGACGGATTTTTATTGCCCACAGACCAGGAGATTCCCAGGCAGAGGAGCCCCACGGGTCAGCAAAGCGGCAGTTCTCTGTACAAAATACACTGGTCTGGGTGCCCTATTAAGCTGGTGACTGGAACTCTGGGAAGGCAGAGTCGTCCATTCATCTGATTCAAAAGGGGACTGAAACAGGGAGCCAGGCCAGGAGATTCCCAGGCAAAAAAGCACCACGAATCTCAGCGTGGCTGTTTCAGCTGGTGCAGTGGGTCACCACATGGGAAATCACACAGATCCCAGCACCTTTTCAACAGGCAACTGGAACACCTGAGAGACAAACGTTCAACTAAAAAAAAAGTCTCTGAGGCAGAGAGCCAGGTGATCAGGCTCAGCTGGTCCCACCCCCACCAAAAAAAAAAAAAAAAAAAACAAAGAAAACAGCAATTGGAAACACTCTGGGTTGAGAGTTTCACAGCAAGCACAGCTGAACCAGGGACGATCCAGCTCTCCTGGGAAGGGGCGTCCACCATCAGTGAGGTACTCCATCACAACAAAGGTAGCCCACTGTTGCTGAGGCAACCCACCATTACAGAGAAAGTCTGGCATTACAAAGCTGGGCCACAACTGCCCAAGAAGTTCTGACTACACCCATATAAACAGGACTGCAGGGAAGTTCACATGGCAACTGGGTGGAGTGCACAGCAGCTCAGCAAAGCTTCTGCAGGCAGTGACCAGGCTGCCTCCTTGCTGGGCAGGGCAGCCCTGAAAAAAAGGCAGCCACACAATGGAAACTCATAAACAAAGCCCTAATTCACCAGGAAAGAGCACCTGGGAAAAGAAAAGGGGTTTAACAGTTCTGCTGCAGCAGACTTAAACGTACCTGCCCAGCAGCTCTGAATGAACAATGGAGCTCACAGCTCAGCACTTGAGCTCCTAAAAAGGACAGACTGTCTCCACAAGCAACTCCCTGACCCCCGTATATCCAAAGAGTCACTTCATAAAGGAGAGATCAGACTGATATTTAGCAGGCATCCTGCTGGGACAAAGATAGGAAAAGAAACTAGTAGCAACCCTTACTGTTCTGCAGCTGCTGCAGGTGATCCCCAGGCAAGGAGGGCCTGGAGTGGACCTCAGCAGTCCTACAGCAGAGGGGCCAGACTGTTAGAAGAAAAACTAAGAAACAGAAATAACTTCATCATCAACAAACTGGACGTCCACTCAGAGACCAAATCTGAAAGTCAGCAACTACAAAGACGACAGGTGGACAAATACACAAGGATGGGAAAAAAACAGCGCAAAATGGATGAAAACACTCAAAACCACAACACCTCTCCTCCTACAAGGGATCACAACTCCTAACCAACAAGGGAACAAGGATGGATGGAGAATGAGTGTGACAAAATGACAGAATCAGGCTTCAGAGGGTGGGTAATAAGAAACTTCTGTGAGCTAAAAGAACATGTTCTAACCCAATGCAAAGAAACTAAGAACATTGAAAAAAGATTTGAAGAAATTATAACAAGAATGGACAACTTAGAGAGGAATATGAGTGAATTGATGGAGCTGAAAAACAACATTAGAACTTTGTGAAGCATGCACAAGTTTTAACAGCCGAATTGACCAAGCAGAATAAAGGATATCAGAGGTCGAAGATCAACTCAATGAAATAAAATAAGAAGGCAAGATTAGAGGAAAAAGGGTGAAAAGGAATGAACAAGTCTCCAAGAAATAGGGGACTATGTTAAAAGACCTAAACTAAGTTTCATAGGTGTACCTGAATGTGACAAAGAGAATAAATCTAAGCTGGAAAATACTCTTCAGAATATTATTCAGGAAAACTTCCCCAACCTAGCAAGGCAGGCCAATATTCAAGTCCAGGAAATACAGAGAACACAACAAAGATATTCCTCAAGAAGAGCAACTCCAAGGCACATAACTGTCAGATTCACCAGGGTTGAAATGAAGGAGAAAATGCTAAGGGCAGCCAGAGAGAGAGGTCGGGTTACCCACAAATGGAAGCCTATCAGACTCACAGCAGATAGCTCTCAGCATAAACCCTACAAGCCAGAAGAGAGTGGGGGCCAATATTCAACATCCTTAAAGAAAAGAATGTTAAACCCAGAATTTCATATCCAGCCAAACTAGGCTTCATAAGTGAAGAAAAAATAAAATCCTTTGCAAACAAGCAAGTACTCAGAGATTTTGTCACCACCAGGCCTGCTTTACAAGAGCTCCTGAAAGAGGCACTACACATAGAATGGAACAACCAGTACCAGCCACTCCAAAAACATACCAAATGGTAAAGAGCATCAACACAATGAAGAATCTGCATCAACTAATGGCAAAACAGCCAGCTAGTATCAAAATGGCAGTATCAAATTCAAACATAACAATATGAACCCTAAATGTAAATGAACTAAATGCCCCAAAGAAAAGACACAGACTGGCAAATTGGATAAAAAGCCAAAACCCATCGGTGTGCTGTATCCAGGAAACCCATCTCACATGCAAGTATACAAAGGCTCAAAATAAAGCAATGGAGGAAGATTAACCAAGCAAATGGAGAGCAAAAAAAAGCAGGAGTTGCAATTCTTGTCTGTGATAAAATAGACTTTAAAGCAACAAAGATCAAAAGAGACATAGAAGAACATTACATAATAGTAAAAGGATCAATGCAACAAGAAGAGCAAAGGATCCTAAATATATAGGGACCCAATACAGGAGCACCCAGATAATACATAAGGCAAGTTCTTAATGACTTACAAAGAGACTTAGACTGCCACACAATAGTAGTGGGAGACTTTAAAAGCCCATTGTCAATATTAGATATATCAACCAGACAGAAGATTAACAAGGATATCCAGGACTTGACCTCAGACCTGGAACAAGCAAACCTAATAGACATTTACAAAACTCACCACCCCAAATCCACAGAATATACATTCTTCTCAGCACCACATCACACCTACTCTAAAGTTGACCACATAATAGGAAGTAAATCACTCCTCAGCAAATGCAAAAGAATGGAAATCATTAAAAGTCTCTCAGACCACAGTGCAATCAAGGTAGAACTCAGAATTCAGAAACGAACTCAGAACCGCACAGCTTCATGGAAACTGAAAAATGGCTCTTGAATGCTGACTGCATAAACAATGAAATGAAGGCAGAAATAAAGATGTTCCTCAAAACCAACGAGAACGAAGACATAACACACCAGAATCTCTGGGACAGATTTAAAGCAGTCCCTAGAGGAAAATACATACCAATAAGTGCCCACATGAGAAGCAAGGAGAGATCTAAAACTGACACCCTATCATCAAAATTCAAAGAGCTAGAGGAGCAAAAAATCAAAAAAATGCAACACCTAGCAGAAGAGAAGAAATAACTAAGATCAGAACAGAACTCAAGGAGATAGAGGCAGAAAAAAACACTTCAAAAAAATCAATAAATCCAGGAGCTGGTTTTCTGAAAAGACCAACAAAGTAGACAGACTGCTAGCTGGATTAATAAAAATGAAAAAGAGAATAACCAAATAGATGCAAAAAGAAAAAAAAAACGATAAAGGGGATATCACCACAGATTCCACAGAAATTCAAACCATCATCAGAGATTATTACAAACAACTCTATGCACATAAACTAGTAAACCTG